CCACATTATGAGCATTTTATCATGAAATTAAAGGAAAATAACACAAGATTTAGAAAAATTGGGTGTCAGTTTGATCCTAGGCACCTTGTCATGATGCATTGGTGTTTGGTTGTGGTTAGATAAAGTACATTTAAAAGAAAAAAATAGAGTTTGGAATGATGAAGCTGGAACTTTTTGAAGCCAGAGATTGGATTAGCTGGGTGAGATCTATGACCAAACATACTACATCGTTGGGGAGTAGTATGCATGGGCAGTCCAGGTGCAGATCAGGGAACCCCGGAAAAGAGAGCAGAGACAGCACTTGGACAAGACCCTCTAAATCAATGCTGGGAAACACTTTGTTCTGCAAGCAGAGCTATTCTGGATCCATTTCTGGTTCTGCTCTAGGATGCCTCCATTCTGACATTTCTTCTTTTGCAAATACCAGTAAGGCTCTGGTTAAAAATGAGCGCCCTCTTTGGGAGTTGTAGTATTTCAACACTAAAGGAAATTCTCTTTAAGTGGACCTTATCAAGTAATCGGATGAAACCAATTTTCATTTTATAGGCAGTAATTTAGTCAGTTGAACATAAGTAAAGTTAGATGAAATGTATAAGCTGAACAGATTAGGCTCACTATTTGGCAAGAAACGGGTGATTTTTTTATTTCTTGCTCCACCTTATTTTATTCATGATAAATATCAGCTATAAAGTGTTGAATAAATAAATACATCTATAAACTGTTTATCAGCCATCTATAGGGGGAGCCTTATTATAAAGGGGTACCCAAGTGGGTTGTGTAGTGCTGGGCAGATACTAACATATTTGCTAATTAATTTTAGAAGACTCAGAAATAAATGATGTATAAACCCATGAGAGGCAAAACAACCACCAACATTATCAATGCTGCTGATTCAGTTCAATGCAGCTGTATACCCTCAGCATGTAAGTACGTTTCTGTGACAGTTACAGATCCACTAAAGGCACAGCACAGACAGCACAGTGCTGACTAATGCTACCTAAGTACTTTCCATTATGGATCCTAATCAAATAGAATATCTCTGTACGCATGTATTTTAATTAAATACATAGAGTGCATAAATAGCTCTGGCTCTTTCCTCTTAGGAAGCTCCCTCTGCCCATTACAACCTGAAATTTCATTAATTCCCCAAACGGACCGAGTAGCAGAGAAAGGTTGTGGATCTCTATTAACGTTTTAAATGCTCAGAGCTGCAAATTGTTGTAACTTTAGGCCCAGGGTTCTTTAACCATGTCCTGTTCTGTAAAGGGGCTTATTGCAGCCTTGGCAATGTTTTATTTTCTCTGAGTAATCATAATTACAGGAGTTGATTTCCCATGTACACATTGAACATAGACCAGTCAGATAGCAACAGATAAAAAAAACAGTCACCATATGCATTGCTGGTTAGTCGGAGGCCCAGAAGCAACTCTCGGTTGTCATTCTCCTTCCAGGACCATAATTAAGCTAACCTATGCCGCTCCATGAAGAAGTTCTGATTCTTTTCCTCACACAGCTCTGTACTCCTGGGCTAATCACCTGTGCTATGCCTGGGCATAGGTTAGCTTAAAACCTACAATTAAGAATCAGCTTAATTGTAGCAGGATCAGAAAGTCTAGTCCTCTGATAGAGAATCCGTTTATCAAAAAAAGAAAAGATTATCAACATGCAACCATGTTTCAGAGAGATGCAAGATGGACTTTTCAGACACGGGGAGACGTCTCTTACGTCTACCTTAGAAAAACACGGCCTCTGTGCTGCAAGCACACGCATGCAAAACCGTTAAAATAAAATAGGGAAAATGACACATATGGGCTGGACGTCCCTAGCACTGATGAGGTGGTTGGACAGTGGCTGCATGCTCCAGCCACACCCTGTGAAGTGTTAGACTTCACGATGCACAACAGTGCCACAATACATCACAGTCAGTTATGTTCACGAGTGCAATGGGGCACACCTGACCACCCCCAACTAAACCGTTGGGGGTGGTCAGTGGTACAGTGGACTTGAACCTTTCAACCCATAGAGGTCAGTGCAAAAAATGATTGGACTGGGAATGTAATTTAGTGTGGAGTGGCTCAGTATCAATCTAAGAGGCACCTCCACAGCACGAAACTGTGCCAGTGGTGAACAATTCTCCAATTTGCTGGTACATCTGTAGAAATAATCATCGTTATTTAATTTGTGAAGTGTCAATTACTTTTCCGACCATGCAGACACATGCTTAGGATTTAGAGTCAAGTCTTTATCCTCTGTAGATTTGTTAGAGCTGTAAACAACTGCCTCTCTGGAGTTAGAAAGCCCAGATCCAGACCACTGTTTTGGGATTAACTGAAATAACGCATCTAAATTATTAAAGAATATTGAAACTACTTTATAATTTGTCACTATTGTTTTTTGTCGGGTTTCTGTAGAAAGGCTTTTTGTAATGAAAAACCACATGATTTTAAAGAAAAGAATGAAACAGAAAATCCAGTGATCTATGGTCAAAAATCCTTAAAAATGTGAATCCAAATGACAATGAAGCTTGTCTCCAACTGGAAAGCTCCTAATATAACAGCTAATACCCTGGGGTCAACTACAGAGAGCCGTGTAGGACAAGCAGAGTCTGAGGGAGGCCAAACACAGAGGGATCATTTACCAAACATCTCAGTGTAATCAGCACTGTATCACATAGCTGCAAAACTACTCACTACCGGGGGGGCTGTTTGTCACTAGCTCATAGGATCATTTCGATAATTAAATCTATATCCCTTTGACCAAATAGGTTTTTTAACCACTCGCAGACATAATAAGGCCTTAAAGGATTCCTCTGCACCAATTTAGAAAATACGTTTCATGTAATCCTTTATAATGATTGTTTCCTGAATATTACAAGAAATTATAACATCTTCAGAGTATTCATTATGATTTTGGAAGAAGTAGCAGACAAATTGAGAGTTGCTTCTGTGCCTCTGTTAGACTGTAGGTGGCTTTATTTTTATTTTTAATTTTTTTGCTTTTTATAGTGCAGTAGCAGGGTTTAATTGGTTCCACTGCCAGGCCAGCATTTAAAATCATTTGTTTCTCTTTATTTTGACCACTAGGGGGCGGAAAGACTCCAAAACATGTTCACAACAGTTGGCATCTAGCTTATCAAGTTGTTATGGCTGACATATTAGCAAACAGTTGCCTACTCACATATCCAGCAGAAACAGAGCAACACGGACATCCCTTTGGTCTCCTTTGTCTGGCCACCTGTTGAATGTAATTCCAATATTCACTGTCGCTTTAGCTTTTTGCTCGCTCCACCGGCTAATGAGAAAAATATGTGTACCGTTACGTTTTCACAAATGGCCGACTTCATTCGCAAAGCTCTCCCGGTTTTGTGGAAATGTCACCAATGTCAGCTAGCTCGCTTTAACTCCTGATTCTACAGAAGCCTCACCAATCCGTAAGGTAGGCTGAGTAAGGAGTTAGGAAAAAAATCTGCAAAATGATTTTGCCCAGAGGAAATTTTTATGGTACATATATGCAAATACTTGAATGTGCAGCAAATACAAAAAGTAACCTACTGCAATCTCAAAATATAATAAGTGCAAATCCACAAAACACTTGCAAAGGTAAAAATATTCAGAAAAGGAGAATTGCTGCCATTTATAGAAAACAGGGAGCAGCAAGGTGGAAATGCACTGCAAACAGAAAACCCACTGTGAATAAAAATTATGCAAACACACAAACATACAAAGCTTATTCAAAAATATATATAATAAATAAATATACAAAGTAAATAAAACAACAGAAGTGCTCCAGACCACTAGGGGGGGCACCCATCGATTCATTTGGGACCAAATCCTCAGTAAAAATATAATTGAAGAAGGAAAACAAGTTTTTCTTTGAATCTCAATCTCCCTGATGCTATAGTGATGCTCATTATAACAGCATTAAAATCTATGTAGGTGAATTTCATAATTTTTTAAGTTCATCTTTATTGGTCCGAATGGTAAAACTGGGTTTGAATAAACAACTAATATTTATTTCCATATAGTTTTTGTTTCGGAAGAGGATTGGTTATGCTGTGTTTTTTCGGTCACTTGACAGTGACTGTGATGCAAGATTATGGGTGTTAAAATAAAGAAGAGAAGCAACATCAGCACAGTGGGCAGACTTTATTGGTGTCTAAAGGATACAAAATATCAGTGATAATAACAAGATATCAGCACGGATTATTATATTAATGCATCCCTACTCTCTGGAAATCCTATCTATGTCTTAACTAAAGCTGTTAGTTGGTGATCATCTCCTGTTAGTGGTCTGGAGCTGTTCAATTTTCAATAACTATTTTGTTTTGTTTTCTGCTTGCAGCAGTTTTACTTTGCATGAACTTTTTGTGTTTTGTGTGTCAGCATCATTTTCTTGCAAATGTGTGACTTATTTCCTTTGCAAATGTTTTGTGTGTCAGTCTTATTTTGGTATTTGCAGTGCTTTTTGTCTTCGCCATACAGTTAAGCATTTGCTCTACCAACATAAGTCTTCTGAAAAGTGGCATCAAACCAAGAGTGGGAGGAACTCATAAGAACTATGAAAACCAAAAAGTTATTTAATAGACCTTTAAATCAGGCTGAAGTACAGATTTTGGTCCAACCTGTGAACTATACCAGCTCATTTTTTTGGTCAATAGTCAAAAGAGGATGGACAGAAGTTAGTTGGGTCAGCAAGGCTTAAGGAAAATCTCCACAACAGAGATACAATTGTAGATTTCTTACAGCAGCGGTTAGCAACTCCACCACTTGTCCTTCATAAAGGCGTTTCCCTGTTTGAACACACTATACATAATTGCAGAGATAATTGGATGATGTGAATCTGGTGTTGGAGCTAAAACTGGCAGGACACATCCCCTCGAGGACAAAAATTTTCCACCTCTGTCTTACAGGCTCACGTCATCTGTGTTGCTGCTTTGATGCAGCTCATGTATCACTGGTTTGGCACATTTTTTATAGTGTAAAATTATAGCGCCTTGCAAAGGTTTTTATAAGTATTGATTTTTCCTTTTTCACATTTTGCCACCTACAACCACAGACTGTAATGTTTTAGGGTTTTATGTGACATACTTACACAGTAGCACCAAATTGTAAGGTCAAATGAGAATGACACACAGTCTTCTCTTTTATTTATTTATTTTTTACGTATAAACATCTACAAACCGTGCCATGTAATTCTAGCCAGCCTTCCTCCAGTACTGCCCTGTATGTATTTTCTGAGGGGTGCAAAATGCCTGAATTCAAAGAATAAAACTTGCAAGCTAGGAGGTAAAACTACTGCATTGCAGTTTAATTGCAATTTAACAAAAAGCATTATATTTAACAAGGGTAAGACACTGACTTTCTCCCGCCGGCCCTTTAGGCAGCTTTAAAACGCTTAAAATGGGTTTGCTGCCACACAGAGGGGAAGACAGAGCCAGATCCATGCATGCGCGTAGTAGTAACAACTTTTCTACTTAACATTGACAGCGAAGTTCGCAACAATTAACTCTGGACAAGAAAGCTTTCAAGGTCATGAAAACAATGCAAAACAACATGGGACAAAAATGGAAAATTGGCTTTAAAAATATATATATTTTAATCCTATCACAATCTCAGGAATGGGACCAAAAAGCTCAAACTTAGACTAACACACAAACAGATTAAAAAGAAAAATGATGAAAGTGACAAAAATCCCTGCAAGTTAACAAAGTCCACAAAGTAGCTCCGCATTAAGGAAGTACTCCAGACCATTAGGGGGAGACAATCATCAGCACATATGTTAAAAGACCATAGACTTTACAATGTCTAAAACTATGGAGCCGATAAGTTGCAAAAACAAACTGGATGCTGTCCAGAGGAAGAAAAGGAAAGTTAGCATTTAAAAAAAAAAAATGCTTAATCCCTTTGAGCATTTATGAATTCACTGAGGGTCTGGCCTAATATGATCGTCTCCCCCTTGTGGTCTGGAGCACCTTTGGTGCTAGTTTGGTGCAGGTTTTCTTAACTTGCTGCTGTTTTTGCTACTTGCAACATTTTCCCTTTGCATGTTTTGGGATTTTTTTGTGTTAGTCTTATGTTTATGTTTGCAAGACTTCATGAACTTGCACACAGTTTGCACCCCTCAGCTGCCGTAGTGTTGCATATAAACCAAAAACCTTGGTTTCATGTTATCAGAGCAATTTCCTTTGCATACCTTGTAGCAAACTAAAAAACAAATTGTAGCCCTTGAGACTTTTTTAAAATGATTTTTACCATTTGGGGACAGATGCGTTAAGTGCAGTGAGGTCAATGGATCCTCCCATATGAGCTGTTGATCTTTGGAGCTCCTCCAATGTTAATATGGAAAGCTCTAGTTCAGAGGATTTATAGCCAATGGCTCTGCAGCAGCTTCAAACTTTCAAAAGTGGCTCTTAATAACTTTTGCTAAAAATAACATCTTTTTTTTTTTTTTTTACATACATGCATTATAAATCCTGAAGGTTTAAGCTATTTAAAACATTTTCTAAAGTCTAATTACTCTAAATTTATGCATGGAATCCCAAAGTTACCAATGATGACTTAAAAGTATTTAGTGCTGCACCAACTGCAGTTTTCTTTTTATAGAAATGTTTTTTAAACCTGAGAAAAATGAAATGTATTATCTTTGAAAATGAAAAAAAAAACAAAATTTTGTTGTGTAGATAGTTATCAACAATAATGTTGTCCTTTACCCAGAGACTAAAATTTGCAGATTTAAGTTTTATTTTTCTGAACCCAGGGCCAAATGGCTCTTTAGGTTGTAAAGGTTGTAGATTACTGATCAGGTAGAGATGCTATGGGGCCATTCTCTTTAGTCAAAAGATTGCACCTTTTTTTTTATTCATGATTAACAAAGTAAGGGGGCAGAAAGAAAAAAAAACAGGCACATTTTTCAAATCTTTATAAACTTGTTTAAAAAAAACTTTTGTTTTTTGTTTTTTACATGGAAAAAAACATAAATGTGGGTTTCTGTAATGTGACAAAATGTGAAATTCAATTTCACATTTAAATTTGATAATATACTGATACCAAAAGCAAATTCATTTAGAATTAAACAGAGGTGTGAATACTTTTGCAAGGCACTATATTAACCAGTTTTTTGTCCTTTAAATGGTAAAAGAGGTAACAGAGGGAAGGTGAGAGCATAACCTTGTTGTGGACTCCCTATGATCAGGGTTAATGAAGAGAGAGCAGCCACATTAACCGTTTCAAAGGTTTCCCATTTTCTTTCTGTTCTAATGAGCAGATTTCAAATTACACTCTGATGCATCCTGGTTTCACAGGCTGGGCACCGTTCACTTTTCCAAATGAACATCCAAGTGGGACGTTTGGATAGTGTTCAGCTGGGCGGAAAATTCCACTTTTGAATCCCGTTAATCACACAGGGATGATGTGGAGCACATATTTCACACCGATTGTACAGAATGTCTCTACGGCATACGTCCCGACTCGATCTCAGGACCCTTTTCTCTTCACCTCATCGCAGCAAACTGTCCTCCTCGGGAAGATGAGACGTGATCCCGCCGTACAGTGGGGAGGAAACCGGTTAGAGCCGAATGAAAGACGCGAAAAATAACTGATAGGACATTTCAACCTTAACTTGATTTCTACCTTTTTTCCCCTGCTCACCTTGCTTTCATCTTCCACACTTACCCCCCCCCCCCCCTGTCCTATTGGTCTGTGGCCAAGTTCAATCCATCAACAGACAGGCTATTAGGTGGTATCAAATAAGGACCTTTATGCATTAACCATAATGCTTATCAGAGCCTGCCATTGATTATGTGCAATTAGATCATCCCTTAACTAGTGATGCAGGAAGATGTTAAGTGTGAAGAGAGGAGCTTGTGTGGAGAGAACACGGGGACAAGTCCTGATGGGGGGTTACTGTACATGAAAGCAAACACCACCGATTTATATCAACTAATCAACACCAACATGACAGACGAGTCCCAGTCTTACCTTCCAATCATGGTGGAGTGCTGCTGGACAGCTGCCTCCAGCAGCCTCTCCAGGATGGTCCATTCTCCCATGGTGATGGACTGATGGGGTCAGAACAAACAGGACTCTTCTTTCTCGCAGGACCGATGTCAGACCCGACGAACCAACACCAGCTCCTCTGGCCGCTGGCTCAGTGAGGGGGTCTCCTGATGGGACTGTCCTATGGTGCGTCCCCTTCCTGGGTGCTGAACTCACTGCACCCCCCCCTCACCCCCCTTACCAACACTACCTCCTCCCCAGTGCGGTGATGCTCCCCCCCCCTCCCGCTCTGCACTACAGCATATGCTATAGCTCACTGTACGACAGCCATGATCACCCTCTCACTGTTCCACTTTCATCTTTCCTGTCCTCGAGCTGGTGTCTGTCTCCCTCTCCCCCCTCGTCCCCCCCTACCCCCGAGGCACTCCTTCTACTTCAGCTGTGCCATCCATGTCGCTGGGCACTCATCCTTGCATTATGTATCTTTGTCTTTGCTGCACCCTTGCTGCTTTAACCTGAACACACTCTTACATACAGCTGATCCACTTTGGCTAACCTCCCCATAAACACACACACACTTCCTGCTCGATGTGAGCTCTGGACTTCCTCTCTCCTTGCTTCCTACTGCAGATCCACACCAGAACACGAAGCCCTGCCTGCTAAATGTCACTTCATGACTGGAGGAATGGTCGCTCCGCGCATCCTTGAGCGCCACACATCACAGACACTCACACATCCACTCACAAACACGCTGCCACCCGGCCCCTCAGTAATAAATCAGCTGATTTGCTGCATTTAGCAGGACTGAAGCACAAGCAGCACCTCCGAAGACCCTGTGTCCTTTCGTTGTCCCCCCGGCTAATTTCGGCTCAGTCCGGTGCCCAGAGTCATGTCTGCTGCAGCAAGCAGGAACCAAATGCTGTCCTGTAAAACCTATTTCTAGTCTCCATCCTCTGGCATCCCCCCTCCCCTTCCACCTCCACTGACTTCCTACTGTCCCTCTTCTTCTCACGTTAGCGTGCAGCCCTCGCTCCTTCCTGCTACCTCTGCCTCAGTGCTCGATCCCCATCTCCTCTCTCAGAGCTCTGTGCTCTCCTCTCTCTGTCCCTGTGCCTCCTTCCTTGCTTTCTCGCTCTATCTCTGTCACACTCTGTGAGCATGCACCCCCCCTCCCTTTGTACCTTCTCTGCTCATAGATCTGCTCCCTCCCTTGCCTTCTTCTCGCCTCCTCTGGTAAATGTGCTTGGATTGCTACCCTGATTGCTGCTTCCCTTATGCTTGCAAGAATGCCTGCTGCCGAGCCTTCCTTTGCCTGATGTTGCACAGAAAAGTATTGCCCTGCCATCCATTTTTCTACCTTAAAACATTTTAGATGCCAACAGATCAGAAGGACCAAAGCAAAAGGTATCTGGTTTAGTTTTTTTCTCTACACCAAATCACCAAATACCTTATTTTCTGTTACTTTCTCCATCGTACCCAGTGCTCGTGCCCTTTCTGTTCTCTCTCTCCTTGTCTTCTCTTTTTTTTTCTCAATAATGCAGCCTCCATTAAAGCCCCCCGCAAGCTCTATACGTCTCCAGAGAAATGAGCGTGTATAGTACTTCACCGTGACATTGAAAGCTGCATTCATTCGATTTATGTGAAGGTGGTGAAGGAAATGTGATGGTTTTCCTCCTGCACAGCCTCAGATGCATAGTTTTATTATCAGTAAACTCAGATACATATGGTGCCATCAAAGTAAGCAGAGGATGCTCAATAGTTGGACTTAAGGAGTGTCCCGCAGCTGCTCTGAAGACATGAGTCACAACAATCCTTTCCCATCTGGAGGACAGAGTCAAGTTTTGCAGAGGTGAAAGATGCAGTGGCAGCACATGAGACCAGCACACCAGAAGGGAGCAGATTAATTGCATGCCCCTGGGAGGCTTTGGAGACGTCTAAATCTCGTCTACCCTTAAATATAAAAAGGGGAAATCTAACAGTTTTACCTTGGAGCCCTGCAGCATACACATGTGGGAAATAAATAAAGATCAGGACTTGATGGGGCAGCAAAGAGATTGTGCCAGATCAGCATCTTCTGTGGTTGAACGGAGGGAGGTGGGAAGGGGGGAAGGGGGTCGTTCCTTTACCAAGGACATATGGCGTAGGAGTGCTAAAGCAGGGAGGGGTGCTGGGTCGGTGGGGTGTGAGGGCTTTCGCTTGGCACAGGTCGACACTCAAACAGAGCAGCTGAAGCGCTGGCATCAGCCGGTCGACAGTCCGGGAATAACTGGATGGCTCATGAATAAAGGGGCGCAGATGTATGTTGTCTTTTCAGTGACCTAGAAGTGTAGAGCTAAAGCAGGCAGAAAGGCACATACTGTACCTACAGACACATATCACTTAGAAATGTGGGTAATACTTAGCTCCTAAAAGAATTTGAAACTGACCTTCCAAAGGTTGTCAAGTTTGAAGAAAAGGGAAAATCATATATAGATTTTCATTATATAAACAAAAGAAACTGAATATACATCTGTTTTATTCAGCTATGATGAGTGGAGACTTTAAAGAAGCTCCCTCTGCTGCAACTGCAGGGTCATTTACAGTGTTTTCCCTGTGGGTTTCACTCATCAAGACTTTTCTAATATTCTTCTTTGCATGAGAGGAAGACCATCGGTAAAGATTGTTTGCTGCGATGGATATAAATGAAACGTATGTACAGGTGTGTTAATAAGTGTAAGATTTGTATTTGATCCTTGTTGTCTAATCCTAACACACTCTAAGGCATAGGACATCAAATGTTTATCTGTTAAAAACAAGTTTTAAAATTATGAATAAAAGTTACTGCTTTGAAAACACACGATACAAGAATACGAATTTCAAATTTAAAGGTACAAATGAAAAATTAACAAATGCAAATCACAAGTTTAGAAAGGTCACAAATTCATCACTATGAATCTTAAACTTTATGTAAAAAAATGATAAATTGTTAACTTACAAGTATGAATAAAACATTTTAAAGTATGATTCACAAATTTAAAACTAGAAATCACAAATTTTGGAGTGAGAATCACAAATAAATGAGTGCAAATCACAAATTCAGAGGTAAAGATCACAGATTTAGAAGAATGAATCACTAATTTCCATTTTCAAATCACTAATTTACATGTATGAATCAAACATTTTGAAGCAGTAATCGTAATATAACACGTTTGAATCACAAACTTAAAAGTGCAAATCACAAATTTATAGGAATTAATCTAATTTAGAAGCATGAATTACAAATGTACAAGTACTCATTTATAACCCCAGATTACAGTAGCAGCCAGCCGAATAGCTGCCCACTTTCCTCCAACTCCCAGCAGAATCCGCTCCAACTTCCAGACACTGGAGTGACGCACTGCTTCTCCTGGGCATGCATATTTTTCTACTCTGACTCCACCTTTTACTAAGTTACAGAGTTGGACCAGGAGATGGGGCTTCTCTTTAGATCTTAATATCCACAAATCCTGACAGAAAGAACATTTTTGTACAAAGATTGATGTTTAAGAGGAATTTTAGGGGATCAGCCAAGGACAATCCAAGGGCTCATCAAGGAAAGTTGGGAAATATTGAATGGCTACAACTATAAGCTGTAGTTTTATATTTGGTGGTGATTATGTACATCAAGGTTGGTCACCAAACAGCATTAAACAAGAAGAAATGAAGGGAGACAAAACAGAGGCTGTCTCTGAACAGCTGCCCTAACCCATAAATCACTGCATGTCTATATACTGTAGAGTGGGGACTATAGTGAACTTAGTTAACTTACCATTCGGACAGATGATCGCTACTTTTTGCATGTCCCTGCACGGTGCCGGTGCCATTTTGTTCTTTCTCGTCCGCAAAACAAATCCCATGTTGCTTTGTGAGGAGAGCTATTGCAAAGCATTTTGTGAGATATCTGCTCATCTAGCGACCAAGGATGATCACTACTTTTTAAGGTGCATTGTGGGAAATTTTGGGTCCACAACTTTTTCATCCCCTAGACATTTGGACACTCATTTAAAATAATGTAACCACTATATATAGTACCCTATGTAGTGGTTAGAGTGGACATGCGAACACAGCCAGAGCCATTGATTGAATGTCTTACTGCACATGTGCTCAAAACAACAATTTTAAGCACAATCCCAAAACCAGCCCCTAAACACTAACCCCCTGTACTGTATGTGCGCTCCTGCAGAGGCTCCACAGCATTAAAGGCCATCCCAAACCACATAGTGGTGACGGCGAAAGTTCAGCCCATAAATAACAAGTCTGCATCAGGGAAATTTGTTAAGGTGTATCGCTGAACTTCCAATGAAGAGGCCCTCCACAGCTGAGTGAGACTTCATTGGTAGGGACACTCGATAGTAAAGGGGAAGAGCATAGGAGGCAGTTTGGGATCAGTTAGTGACAGGATTTACAAAAATAGAAGGTTAGATCTATGGTTTTGTTTTTGTCTTCTTTCTCTTCCTCAGCACTAATGCTGGTTGATGAACCACCTACAAGAGCATTACTGCCACCAACTGGTGAGGAATGTAACAGCTTCATCCAGGTTTGTAGATTTGTACTAGTAAATGTGTGATTTATCACTTGCAGTTTTTGTCATGGGACAGAATAGGCAACCCAGTATTCAAGGCAGAGAGAAAGTAAGATTACTCAAAAAAGCCTTTATTAAACAATGGGTCTGCACTAGCAGCGTCTAGGGCATCTAGGAGAGGAACCTCTGCAGAAAGGAAACACCAGTTAGTGACGACTTAAATCTGGTGGAGGAAGATTATGAACGAGAGTCACTAACCTCGTTTTAATAGTTCAGTCTGAGCCTGGAGAAGGTGGTCGATTCCAGCCAGTCGGCTGATGACAAAACGTGGCGGGCGCTCCTCATAGAGTCCCAGATGCTGTAGCCCCGGAGGATGGAAAACATACAGGAAATCAGATCAGAGCAGATTAAGTAAGGCAGAATAATCCAGTGGGCAAAGCCAAAGCCTGTGCTGAGGACATGCTCAGGATACCGAACCAGGAGACAAGAAGTCCAAAGAGGTTCCAAGAGGAAAACAACGGCGATAAAGCAGCTACAAGTGTTTGGCAAAATCCAGCAGTAGTCCAAAGAGGGTTCAGGCAAACAGATCAGACGGGAACAGGCAGGCTCAGAACTCCAGAGGCAGAATGGGTCAGGATCAGGTAATCAGAAACATTAAGGTAACAATTAATCACTCTCACCTCTGGCTCGAGAATAATCTGGCACTGATGACTGGTTAGAGAGCTGGTTAAATAGAAGCTGAAGGAGGTGGATCAGATGAATGGTATCAAGAAACTGGGCGAAGCTAGGCGGGTGAATGAATTGAGTAATCAGGCCATTCATCAGCCCCAAGATCAGGACAGTTTTGCATTGTGTCACTTCTAACTTGTTTTACAAGATAAAACATCAGATGTCACATAAAGGGGAGAGTTAACAACAAGGAACAAATCCAAATTTATTTAAATTATTGATTTTCATTTAGAAATTTAGACATCTACATATTTATTTTTATTGGCAGTTATTTTACATCAAAAAGATCTCCAGACTGATTGTAGGTAAGATTTAGAGCTGGACTTTAACTGGGCCATCCTAACACATGAGTATGTATTCCCCACTGCAGCCGTGGCTGCTTGCTATCAGGGATTTTCCCGTTATAGGCAGCCCATTTCCCCAGTCTTATGCAGCTTATTGCAGCTTTTCTTCCATTGATTTGGCTCCATGCTAATGTGTCTTTGCTGAATCTCCCTTTTCATAAAGGCCAGATATCAGTTGGGTCAACAGATTCTCACACCTGAGCTTTGGACCTTTGCAGCTCCTCAAAAGCTTTCATAGCCATCTCGGCTGCTTCTCTAGTACAATTACAATAAATTTTAAGGGCTTTGAATGTTGGATAATGCACTTTTTCACCTAACCTGGGTCCTAAAAACCCTTTTGTTGACATTACTCTCAAACACACAAACAGACATATACTGTTTCAATTTATTTATATACACTCTTCATATTAAGTGCACTCTGGGTATGAAGCACTTAGCTTTGAATCAAACCACAGCCGTTCCAGTTCAGGGACAACCACTCTTACTGTTAGGCCAGAACTCCCTCCATAAATTTAGAGTGCGTACTTGTAGGTAAGAAGTTCATACATCAATTGACTTGTAAATCATGCATGCTGTGCTTTCTGTAGGAATCAATTGGTCACATTAAAATAGCAAATTTCAGAGGATCCTTATTGAGGTTTTAAGCAAAATGTTCAATCTTTTAAAAAGTTGCGTACATTAATTTTCAAGTTTGCCACAGTTTGTGATTCACATTTAGGTTTGCACTTTAACTGGACTAACCCAATAGACACAAAAAGGCTTGGAGCCATTGAATCTATTTGTATGTTAATGTTTATTTTACTGCATGCTAACATCGGTACCCTTTGCTCCAGGCTCAGCTATTTTGTAGCATGTTTTCTTCCAGCATTCCTATAATTAGCCTTGCATCCCTAAAATCATTTCACACACTTAAAAAAAAATATATATTTTTTTTTATTATGCACCACTTATTTACCATTATATGAAGTACATTTTGTTCTATTATTGTTGCAAGCCAAAAACACATTTTGTAAAAAAAATAAATAAATAAACAAATAAAAAAAAGATACAATCCATAAATACACTTACCAATCAGAAAAGGTTTCTCAGGTATGTTTGTATGTTTAGATTTTACTTTTTCAAATGTAGTCTTACTTTATTTATTTATTTATTTTTTTTTTCATTCATTCTTTTTATTCAAATTCTTTCTATATTGCATTTTACAGATCACATTTTCAAGTCAAATCCAAATGTCATCAATGCAGACTGGTGGAAATGTGATCTGTAAATTGCTATTTCACAGGAATGCAGCTAAGGCTCAATCTGAAAAAGAACATTTCAGAAATTTCATTTGAAAAAAACTGTAAAACAAAAAAATGTAATGTATAAAATAAAAAGAATTACGAAATTTAAATCTTAGCAAACCTGTTTTTTTTATTAATTCTTTTATCAAAGTTTAATTCCTGGGTTCTATTTTTATATTTTCATTTACAAAATGAGTTCTATGCTTGAAACAATATAGAAACAAAATTAATTCGATGCCAGAGAATCTAAACCACATACTCCAAAGTTATTGGTTGTCATATAACATCATGAATGATGATGAACAGATGCCACAGCCATGTGAAACTATGGGGATAATTATAGGTTCGAGCTGAAATCCAAAACATTAGGAAACTCATATATTGTTTTCCTTTCAAAATTATGCGTTTGTTTGATACTCTTAGTCTTCTTTTAAACTGCTTTGATCGCAAAAACTGTTCCTACCCATCAGCTGGAGCTCATGAGCAGCCAGGAGTCCTGCAAATAACATTCAGGAAAATTTCAATACAATGAACATCCAGAAAGCTTTTTCTTTTCAAAATGTCAGAAAGCGTTAAGATCAAGGCTTTATGAGTCCAGTGGATTGTTTTTATATTTATTATTTGGAATTACTATGACCTGGGTGACTGAGAATCTTCACCAGCAATACAACTTTAAAAATGTTAAGGGCCAAGTTCTGGATAAACAACTCTAATAGTTATGAGGGACTTTAACAGAGCAGGTTTCCACAGAACTCATGATTGGATTATCAGAGAAATTGCTTTGTATGTAAAATCTAAGCTGTGGTGTAATACTGCCCCCTTGTGGCCATGATCAAATATAACATGTCTAAGATCGCCTGTGTTTCAGGTTTCAGCCAAATATTTATCGATACGTCATGAAAAAAATCCAGCTTGTGCTTTTTCGGGTTAAATTCCCAGTTTTTCTTCTAAACCGGAGGATTTTTGTCTGTTAAACAACTATTAGTTTAACATTTCCACCACTAGGGGCAGTGTCGCTGCCACTCGAACAATGTTCACTTTGTTCCTAAGGAGGAAGAAGTTATCTAGAATGCTAGCTGCTCGGTCGGTAGGAGTAGAGACACTGTAGTGATAATAACTTGGCCGCAGGAGTGACTGAATTATCCAACAAGTGTTAAAGCTGAAAGGAGAAGCTCCGGAGCATCGAGAATCACCGACTCTTCATCTGCACGTGCGGGGAAAGCAGGACAAGGCTGCGGATAGTGGAGCTTTAAGAGCCGCTGCTGAGGAAGCTGAGAGAGAAGCGTTGGATTCAGACATGTCTGCGGCCGGAGACTTCGGAAACCCTTTAAGAAAATTCAAACTGGTCTTTCTCGGGGAACAGAGTGGTGAGTTTTAATACATGATGTCATGGCTGAATGAAATACAGTCGGACCTGATTTCTGTAGGACATGTATCCGACTTTAACGGCTTGTTTCGGAGGTTGACGCGGAGCTGCTAGCCGGCTAACATTAGCCGCATATCTTTACACTGTGTTGGCACTTTGGGAGCGTTGCGACACTGTTGATGCCGTGTGTTTGTCCACGCTGGCTGCTTCCCACTCCCTTCTAGATATGAGGAAACTGACGTATCCACTAATTAGCTTCCTCTGACACCCCGTCACTTTTAGGGCAGCTGTAAAACGGTGGGAAACTTGTTAGTTAGCTAAAACAACAGTTAACGTTTGGGTGCTAACTTTATTAGCTGTTTATTTCTTAGATTGGTGTGTTAGTAGGTTGAAATAATCAGCGTGGGTTAAAGTCCGTGAACTCTGATTGTTTTTACAGTTCTTCTATCCTTGAGGCATTTCCAGGACCAGTGCAGCTCAGGCTACATTGATGAAGGGAATGAGGGGCTTTATTTCCAATGGTAGATATAGGAGACCCGTTTCCATGCTGTCCATAACGCAGCATACTTCTCTCATGCTAGTTTTGGGCTCATAAATAAGCATTGTTAATCAATATTTGTGGTGAGATGAAACATCATGAGTTTTGGCTAATTCCTTAAACGATCCCAGCAGTTCATGAAGCTTCATGTGAGCATGTCTGCCCCTAATGGTGGACTGCATTACTATAGTTAGCTATATAATCTGTGATTTTTTTGCAATTGTTTGTCTTGTTCTTTCTTCTCCATTTAGATTCCCTTGAATTGTTAATGATTGGTGTGTATAATAAAATCATTTGTAAGTTTTTTTGTGATTAAAATGTCTTAGAACAGGATAATATTTTAAGGAGCAGTGTCTTTCTGTAATTTTACTGAAAAAAGCTCAAGCAGACAGTAGTGAAAGTGCTTGTGCAAATTGGGCAACGATGAGCAGAATGTAAGGTGTTAATAATTTTTCTTCAAATATAATAGTTTTTCTACAGTTTTTGGTTTTAATCGGGTTGGAAGTTACGTGTTCAACCAATCTTTTAGTTAAACCAACCAATCTAATTTCTATGTTTAAGGACTAACTAATACAAATTGGTCTCTTTGGCCGAAATACTGGTTAAGTACTACAGCAACTTTCTAAGGTTCATACTAAGACTTGAACCCACAACCTTTAATTAGATGGAAAATTTCTTACAGAGGACAGCACACCTGTACTGTCATCCCCAGAAAGCAACAGTATAAAAAAACTAATAACACAAGTGAAACCAGTGGGTTGTTCAAATTCAGATTATATTGTTTGAGCTAATCTAGTTTTAACCAACTAGATTGGTTGTTTTTCCAGCAATTCTATTCTTAGAATAGATCCAAACTCTATCCAACTGACCACAAATCTCCTACGAACTCCCACATCTTGACTGAACACAAAGGCTGTTTAAATGCCTGTCAACTACTCGACACACACCTCGAAACCTCGGGTCATCTCATAACATCACTACTAATAAACAAGCTTATGTTTATTATTAGAATAATAAATAAATGTTTCCATAGGCTGAGGTCTAATGGAAACTATATTCAGTCAGACTGATTTTAGATAAATAATCCCAGTAGGTGGCTATTCATTGCTTGATAAATTTTTTTTTTTTTTTTTTTAAATCCTTTGTTTTTCCATGTATCTCTGTAAAGGAATATATTTTAATAAAAAATCAGTTAAATGGCCATGAATCAAAATGAGCACTTATCCTATGATCAGCAGAACAAATACAAAAAAAAAGTCACATTTTATCTTCTTCAGTAAAGGATTAAAACACATTTAAATCTCCCACACCTTTTCAGTGCCACATTTTCTAAATTATATTTTAATTCAGATTCTAAATGAGCTGATTTTTTTTTTTTTCATTTTTCAGTATTGAGCCTGATCTGTAGTTGTCTGGTGGTGAATATCAAGCTATTGCTTTTGATCTGGGTGTAGAGTGACCAGATTTGGTCTAAAGTTTCAATAACAACCTAAAAATAAAATAATTTAAAGAGATGAGTTAAACAGGAAGTGGTAACAGCATAGTTTGACTGTATTAACTCATAATAACTGTCCATTCTGTATTAAAAACTACACTAACCTACCTAATTGAATAATTGCTTTTATTGTTGGTACAAATAAAAAGAAAAGTGAATGAGTTTCTTATCACTGGATGCGTTTACCTCCATGCGGAACATGGTTTCATCAGATGGAGACGAATGCCGTTTGTTCATCAGCCTGTCTTTGCAGCCTTAGAACCAGCTGTGTTGACTTAAGTCATGTCTCTGTCACTTGATGCCCAAAGTATCTGATACTGAAACCAGAGCTCTGCACAGAGCGCAGTCTACAGCCGGGCACCAAAGCTCAGGGAGGCTTCATCCGTCCAGTTGTTGAAAAACGCATTCTCATACTTAAACCTCTAGATCAGGAATGTGAGAGGGTGTGATCTTCCTGTTATCTGCCGCTGTTTTTCTAAATAAATGTGAATGTGTGGCTGTCGTTCCAAAGTTTTTTTGCTTAAAGCAGCACAAAGGAGGACCAGGTGCTGTAGTTATTACAGTTCAGTCCCAGAAGCAGGTTTTCAGCATGACGGCCACAACAGCTGCTTTGAAATGAGGCAAACTTCACTCCAGATGAGCTAAAAATAGTCTGCTGGTAGTTAAAGGTAACAGATACTTTTTCATCAATATAATAATTAAAAAAATCTCCTGAGAACATTAATTTCCTAAAAAAATAAAGTCTATATAATTGTTTTTTTCTTTTACTTTGGGGTGTCAAAAATATTTAGTAACTATAACAATTTCCCTTTTTACAGTAACATTACCAAAGATACCTGTATTTTTAAAGCAACCATGCTTATATTTTGACCCAACTATTATTATTTTAACATGTATTCAGTGATTAGTCAATATTCAGATCTTGGTTTGTATCGATGATCACATTCATTCCTCAAAACTCTTCTCTGTAACTTTATAGTGACGAATCATCTCTGAATTAGTCATATGACCCAGAACGCAGATTCACGGCAGTCTTAGCTAAAACAAGATATGACATAGGGCTGGGCGATAATTCAATAACGATATAATCGATAGACGTGTGACGCAATAGAAAAAAAGAGGGTCGATAAAAGTTCGATTAAAAAAAAATGTTGTTTCCCTTCCTTCTCATTGTAGCCTAGCATGTAGGTTTATGGTAGTCACTACTTGCTCCCAACCAATCGCAATCGCGGACCCAGGCACGGCATCACAAAGCGCCGCCCTCTCAAAGCACAACACAGAGCACATGAAGATGTGCAGCAAGGAGAGGCGGAGGAAATTGTTCCAAAGAAGGGTTTTTGTAGTTCG